CATTTTCTTTCTTGAAAAACAAGGAAGGTACCCAGGCCATCTAGTGGGAAGCAAAGAGAACTGCATCCTGTATGGAAATCACACACTTGGATTTCATTACGCAGCAGGTAATGTACAATATGAAATCAATTGTATTGTAATAGCAATAGGCAGACAAAGTTGACTGCAATATCAAAGAAGAAAGACATTTTCTAGATGGGAAGATTTCAGGTTGTAAGGTGAACCTCTCAAAACTTCAGGTTCATGTACTTCATGGGAGGAATGTAGAAAGTTGTAAAATGATTGGTATTCCAGGCTAGCCTTAAATAACCAATAAAGTAATGGGAAAATGCATTAAAAAGTGAATGCATGATTAAGTGAATGAATGATTAAGGCAGAGGTTATCTTGGATAACAGTTGTAGCTCAGTCAGTGGTAAAGCTTTGAGAGCCAGTGTGGTGTAGTGGTTAAGAGCGGTAGTCTCGTAATCTGGGGAACCGGATTCATGTCCCCGCTCCTCCACATGCAGCTGCTGGGTGACCTTGGGTTAGTCACACTTCTTTGAAGTCTCTCAGCCCCACTCACCTCACAGAGTGTTTGTTGTGGCGGAGGAAGGGAAAGGAGAATGTTAGCCGCTTTGAGACTCCTTCGGGTAGTGATAAAGCGGGATATCAAATCCAAACTCTTCTTCTACTCTTCTTCTTTGCACATAGAAGGTTCCAGCTTCAGTTCCTGGGACCACAAGCATACCATGAGTCCACAGTGTGATGCAGCAGCAAAAAAATCTGACACCATTCTTGGCTGCATCAACCGAAGTTTAGGGTCCCAATCAAGGGAAGTAATAGTCCTGCTCTATTCTGCCTTGATCAGACTACACCTGGAGTCCTGTGTCCAGTTGTAGACACCACAATTAAAGAAGGATATTGTCAAGCTGGAACATGTTCAGAGGAGGGCAATCAAGATGTTCAAGGGTCTGGAAGCCAAGCCTTATGAGGAACTGTTTGAAGGAGCTAGGTATGTTTAGCCTGGAAAAGAGGAGATATGCCCACCTTCAAATATTTAATGGGCTGTCACATGGAAAATACAGCAAACTCGTTTTCCCCTGCTCTGGAGGGTAGGACCCGAACCAATGGATTCAATTTACAAGAAAGGAGACTCTGACTAAACATCGGGAAGAACTTTCTGACGGCAAGAGCTGTTTGACAGTGGAACAGACCACGAGAGATGGTGGACTGTCCTTCCTTGGAGGTTTTTAAGTAGAGGTTGGATGGCCATCTCTCATGTATGATCTAACTGAGATTCCTGCATTGCAGGAGGTTGGGTTAGATGGCCCTCGTGGATCCCTTCCAACTCCACAGTTCTATGATTCTGTATAAACACCATGCAAACAAATCAGAACGAATGCTCAATAAACAGGCCACCTGCAGGAGCCTGGTGTAAAACCACCGTTTTATATTAATTACTCTTTCCTTCTCCAACTGCTGTTTTAAGGACTTTTAATAAACTCATCCTTCCCTTAGGAGTAGGGAGAAAAAGCAGAAGCAGTTTCTTCAATGGCAATAGAGGTTTTTAAAAATCATTCTATTTCATTGTATAGTACTGATGCTTATTGTTTTAATAGCTTTATGAAGGGCTTTTTTTCAGCTGGAACTCAGTTCTGGCACCTCTCAGGTTGTTGCCATTGCCATTATAAGAGAACAAGGGAGGTATTCGTGGTGAGTTCTGGCACCTCTTTTTCCAGAAAAATAGCACTGGTTTTATGTAAACTGCTTTGTGAGGTCCATTTGAAGAACAATATATAAATACCATAAATAAATGGTTAAGAACATAAATCTGATGATACGATGTGTTGAATAGGGCTATATTTCTTCTGTTGCTTCCCTGTTCGTGATCTGCTGTTGCACATAAGAATTGGTAGTTTGGTTTCTTTTACCCCACTATTAGTTTGTTGTTTTTGCATAATAACGCACCTTGTCTTATTTTATAAAGACCTGAACTTGGTACCAATTTAGACATGATATTACCGTATTTTTCACCCCATAGGACACATCGGCCCATAGGACGCACCAAGTTTTTTGGGGGGGGAAATAAAGGAAAAAAAATATATCCCCCCCCCAGGCGCTTGTGGGGCCGGCAGCGGAGAGAAGCGCTCTTCTCCCCGCCGCCCGCCTTCAGACCAGGTCCGGGGACAGCGGGAAGATGCGCTGCACCTCCCAGCTGTCCCCGGAACTTGTGGGGCTGGCGGCGGGAAGAAGCACGCGTCTCCCCGCCGTCAGCCTCCAAACCACATCGGGAGACAGCGGGATGGCGGCGTTCCGCCTCCCCGCTGTCCCCCGACCTTGTGGGGCTGGCGCTGGGGCTCTCCTGAAGCCTGGAGAGCGAGAGGGGTCGGTGCGCACCGACCCCTCTCCCTCTCCAGGCTTCAGCGAAAGCCTGCATTCGCCCCATAGGACGCACACACATTTCCCCTTCATTTTTGGAGGGGAAAAAGTGCGTCCTATAGGGCAAAAAATACGGTAAATACGTACCGTATGAGGCTTTGAAAGCAAGTAAGCTTTCTCTTATAAATATGCATTGTCTCATTTGACTTAAAATGGGAACAAGTACATTTGGCAAATTAGTTCAAAAGATTGTCTTCTTTTCACTGCATTTTCTATATACATAGTAACAGATCAAACTAAAATAAATAATCATGTCTTTGGAATTTTCCGAAAACATACAAACAGCATTTCGTTTGCTAAAATTTATTCCACCCCTTGAGTACTCATTCTTTGTCACAAGTTCAGGATTGTTTCCAAACAAATGACTTCATCCCATTTCCCAGAAAAAAAATACTGTGCTAATTCCCACCCTTGAGTTTTTTTCTGAATGCTTCTACTAGAACATTGTGGTTGCACAGCTGGATTTTGACAAAAGGAACAGTTAATTTTTTTAAAAGTTTCAATGAAATTGAGAAAGCCAAGAGGCAAAAGCAGTTATCAAAATTTAATATGCAGCAATATAGGAAGAATAAATAGGAATTAAGACTAGCAAAGGACGGAAGTTGGCTCTCCTACATGGAAAGCAGGAGCAAAAATGGATTGGAGATTTAATTCAGTTTCACAGAGTCAGTATTTGGTGGGTCACTGTGGAAAGGCTTCAGGAGTTAGGCTAGTCAGTCAGTCATATCTAGTAGTTGTACACTAGACTCAAGTAGCTCCTACTTGCCAGCAGAAAGCTTGCCCTTGAAGATAACAACAACAATTTTATTTGTATTCCACAAGTTGTGCGGGAATAGCAGTCCTCAATGGCTATACAATTCTTATAACCACAAGTGTGTGTATGTGTTTTTAAAGATGCAAGTAAGAGAAACTGGTATCTGAAGCTTGAGGCTATATTTAACATATTATTCACCTTTCTGCCAAGGTAGTCAAGGTGACAGATATAAAATAATTAACCAACTAACAGTAAAAGCCGAATAGTGAAACAGAAGAGCTGCAGCAAAATAATTAAACATGACTAAGATCTTGAATCATAAAACAGTAGAAGCCTAAAACAGCAGCAATGAATCACTTAAAAGTCTTGATTGAAAATAAAAGTTTTGATATACTGCCTGTTAAACCCCTGAGGAATTAAGCTGAAAAATGATTAGCTAGAAGGGTCAGAGACAAGTATGTATTTCAGGTCACGCTAAAAGGCCTTTGTCCAGTGCAGAAACCAGAATAAAGGGCAGGTACATAGCCAGTCAGGTTTCAAACCACAGCACTCCACAGAAACAGATTTCTAAAAGAGATATTCCATCTAAAAATGGTTCAGATTAAGCACTAGTCCTGAATAAAGAGTTATAACGAGCAAGTTTTTTATTGGTTTCTCATATCACTTAGTACTGCTGGGCTGAGCTGCAATAAACCACTTCTGGTCAGCACAGCAAATATTAGGCTAATAGCTTTCTATCTTGGAGGTGCAATCAAATAGCGTTTTAAAAACTGGACTTTTTGCGATTTGGAAAGTGAGGTGGAAATGTGTTGAAAATTGCAACAATGAACGAAGAATTAACTGGAAGACATGTAAGTACACACAAGCGAATTAGGATGAATGTAGGGAGACCCGTAACAAACCAGAACAAATGTTCAATAAAGACCAGGCATAGTCTAATCACCACTTAAGCTTTGGGCAAGCAAAACTGGATGCCAGCTATAAATCACACGGAGTACGTGAAATTAACTCTTTATTAATAGAAACCAGGCCAGCTCAGAGGAGCCAGGCCTAATGAGCACAGGAATTCTTCTCAGTAGGTCTTGCCCCATGAGGCAGCTGCGGAAGCTGAAGACCCCTTCCTTCCCACATCTGCCTAAATCTCCTCCTCTCCAGGGCTTTTTCCAAGCAAACAGAGACTGCACCTGCATGCGGCCAATCGTTCTGCCCTTTTCATGCCTCTCCTGCTTCTGGGAGACAGGGGGAGAGCAGCAGAAGGGGGAGACCCCTTGGCTCCTTCAGCAGCCTGATTCATCTCTGGCTCTGGGGCCCCCTCATCTCCTGCTTCTGCACTTCTGTCTGCCACAGACTCTTCCTGCTCACTAAACCCTGTTACCTCTTCACTTTCTGACATCTCTTTCTCTCAGTCTGCTCCCCCTTCTCCCTGTGACCACTTCCTGGGCTCTGAGGAGGTTCCCCAGCTGGTGCCTCTGTATCCAGCCTGTCCATGACACTGGAGAACAGCTGAATAAACAGGTGGCCTTTTTTACCAAACCGTGCATTGAGCAAAGCATACAATTTCAATACATGTTTACAAATGGGAGAATTTGGATCCATTTTGGCAGCTCTAAGGGCAGAACTAGAGTTAGGGCAGCTAGCCCACTTCACACTGAAAACCAGAATGTATGATGTATGTATTCATTATGGTTTATCTCTTTTGGCTCCCCACCCCCGCCTTTCTCCAAGGAGCTCAAGGCAAGGTATATACAGACCCTCCAAGTGTCCCTATTTTCCAGGAAGTCCCAGATTTACAGAAGCCATCCGATTTCTGATTTGATCCCGGAATGTCCCGCATTTGCTTCAGACGTCCCAATTTTCATAGGAGAAATGTTGGGAGAGCTATGCATCCCCTGAGCCATAAGAAACTGTTAGAAGACACCTGAATATTAAACGTTAAAAATGTTTAGTATTTTGTTTTTATCTATGTTGGAAGCTGCCCGGAGTGGCTGGGGTATAAATAATAAAATGGACTATTAGTATTATGGAATAGGACGTCCCTATTTCCATCGGAGAAATGTTGGGAGGGTAGGTATGAACGTTATGGTTTCTGCACCACAGTTCTGATGCATGAGGTTAAGCGACCGGTGGTCCAGCGGGCTCCATGGCTGAGCGGAGATTTGTTCCTGGCTCTTCGCGCGAATAGCAGCGGCAGCGGTAGCATCACTCCCGTCCTTCTAGCACATCCCACCCACATGACTAGCGAAACGAAGCATTGCAACCGTGTGCACTTGCTCGGGAGGGCGCCCAGCTGCTTTGCTGCTGCTGTTCTCGCGCGTTCTTTCTTCGCTCGCGGACTGTTTTTCAGCGCGGAGAAGGAGGAGGAGGAGAAGAAGAAGAAGAAGAAGACGAGGAGGAGGCGGGCTCAGCCGAGCCGCCTGCCTGCCTGCCTGCCTTTCCCTCCGCCCTTCTGCCGCGAGGCGTGGCTGAGTCTTCCCTTTCGCCATGATGAACAAATGACCTCGCGGGGAATGAAATTTAAATTCCGCAAAGGCGAGAGAGTTCTCTGCTTCGAGCCGGACCCGACCAAGGCGAAGGTGCTCTATGATGCCAAGGTGAGGAGGATTCCTCCGCCGGGAGGGAGGGCGGGCACGCGCGCCTGGCCGTCTCGCCCCCCCCTTCCCGTGCGCGCGCGCGCGGTACCCCCCTCCTCCTAGCAAGCCGCCCAGTAACGGAAGCGGCGGCCTCTTTCTTCGGTGGCGCTTCCGGGTGTTGCAGCTGTTTCCTTTCCCCTCTGGGTGGCGGGGGAGCCCAGCTCTGTTTGGCTGCCCCCCAACCCCGCAACTCACCCTCGCCCCACAGCCATTTGAGGGAAGAGAGGGGCTTAGGAGCAAAGCAGCTTCCCATGGGCTCCTCCACCTCGCTTGGACCCAGCTAAAGGGAAACATATTATTGGGGCATATATTATTTTATTTTGCTCCATTGCACATACCGTTGAACGAGAAAGGAGACAACGCAAAATAGGCGCCAGTCCTCCTGCTCTCCCCCCCACCCCAGTCTCTTCGTCGTATTTTGACGCTTTTCTAGTATAGGTTACCTGGTTACCAGGGGCTGTCCTTTTAAGGGACAACTTGACACACGTGTCTGTGGGGTAACCGCGTGCCAAGTTGGCTGCCCGTGTTCTCTTGAGGGAAGAGGTGGGTCTTACCAGCGCCTGGAGATTTCTCGGATCAGGTGCAGGGAATGTGGGAAAATTGTCCCCACTTCTTAAAAGACAATACAGACCACCCTGTTTACTACGGGCTGGCTCTATTCTGTAGCTGTAGAACAACCCTAACCATATCAGCTTAGAAGTAAGCCATACCGAGTTCAGCGGGGCTTATTCCCAGGTAAACGGAGATTGCATTTTATGGCCTGGTCTGTTCACCGAATATTATCAGCTCAAGCTGCTGCAAAGGTTATATAGAAGGCTGCAGTTGTGCCTTTCTGCACAGCAAGGCCAATTCCATTGTTCTCCATAGGAGAGAAAGGCCTTCCCAATGACTTCTTAGCTGTGGGCTTCCTATGAGAAAGCTGGTTTATTTTGGCAACACTAGAAACAAATATCTCACTTCCATGCTAATTTACTTGGAAGTAATATTTATCCAAGTGTTACATATTCTTAAAAGCCACATGTGGAAATCGCTTCTATGTAGTAAATGGCATGTAACTCAAGTTCAGTTTATTCACTGACTGCAGAGGCACTGGACAGCATGACCCTTTGCAGCTAACCAGAGTGTGGTACTTGGGTGTTCAGGCAGAAAAACAAAACTGCTTCATGCATTTTGTAATGTTTGAACTGGACCCAAGTTTGGACAATGAAGGCACTACCAACTTTTTAGCATGGTTGGATTTGTTGTATACGTATTCAATACGGACTTTCTACACCCTCCCCATGCATTGAAAATCAAAGACCTTTAATAAAAGGGCATAGCATAAATAATCTTGTTTATAGTGAATGAGAACTGCTTTTTTAAAAAAAAAATACTTTGTTTTATAGTAATATTTATAAGCTATAAATATTACTATATTTATAGCTTGTATAAAACATTTAAGGTAATCTATATATTGAAACAAACTGGTAGGATAATTCTTTGCCTTCTACCTAGCAGTTTATGAGAGGTTTCTTCGATGTGTAGGCCTGAAAACAATATATTTGGCTGTAATCTCAAGCATATTTGAAACCATTTCAAATGCTTGAAAATTATATTGCAAAATAGCTCAGGACTGCAGCTTAATACTGAATACATTGACGGCAAATCCCTGGTATGTACACCAGATCCTTCCAATTCCTGTTAGTCCAAACCAGATTATGCAGCCAAATTTTGTGTATACTGTATTTAGTTGGAAGTGAGCCTTGGTGAAAGATATGTAGACTCGTGTGCTTAGGATTGTAGCCATAAACTCTATAGGGAACTGCAAAGGAAATAACTGGAAAAACTGTTATATTGCTTTTATACTCTGCAGCCTAATCTTATGCAGAGTTCGTCACATCTAAGTCCTTGAAATCAAAGGGCTTTAGTATACTTAACCCTGCATATTGTTGTGGTGGTATTTCCCCCCCTGTTTTGTGGCTTTTGAATGGAATTCATTTGCTTTTTAAAATGGATCTTCAGTGGCAGGCACACTGTTCAGCAAAACGCCTGCCAAGCTAGCTGCACCTGTCACCACCTTTGTTTCCCAGAGTGCGTCTAGTTCAGGCACCCTGGAAAACAAAGATGGTAGCAGGTGAATATAGCTAGAGTCAGCTCAGGAGTTTCACTGCAGCTACAACAGGACAGAGAAACTATTGCCCTACATGATGCCACCTGGTAAGGGGATGGGGGGGGGAAGCAGAGTGAAACTAGCATTTACCTTGCTATTATTTCTTTACACAAACACCCCCACCCCCTTGCCAAGCTGGTGTCGGGAAAAGCAGGGTTGTTTTCTTTTTAATTTATTTTTTAAAAGGTGTGAGCAGACTCCATCACTTGTCTGAATAGCACACCATTGTGTGCTATCTGGTGAGTCGGGGGTGACAGCAGGCTGGGCAGTTTCCCTCATCCCAGCTTGCCAGATGGTGTATCAGAAAGGGAGAAGATTATTTCTTTGTTGTAAAAAAAAGGAAAAGAAAAATAAGTTCTGATTAAAGGAAAGGAGGGTCAATTCTTGATGACACCTGATGGGGGTGGGGTGGGGGGAGCACCAGGACGAGGGTAGTGTGGAGTGTGGGGGGGTTTGACAGCTCCCATAGGAAGTGATGATGGAGAAGAGTTTCAGCACACGGTGGTGCAGAAGCAAACAGCCACAGTATGCACAATCAGGTTCTTCCTCTTTTCTGCATTGGTTTCCTCACTCAGTCTTCTCTCCTCTGTTTATGACAAGTGCCTGATTGACTTTGATCTGCAAATGTTTTGCCCATCACAGCCCTATTTTCAAAACACCCCTGGCACAAGTTTCATAGATCTGGTAACAGTGTTAGAAACTGAGATATGAAAGCTAGGAGCTAAATGGCACCTTAAACCTAGGTTTAACAGAATGTCTAGGCATGCTTTTTAAAAATAACAATAATACAAAGCTGAAAATGAATGAACTGCAGCTAAAATATTACGTTCATTTTTCACATGGTCTAGTCCTTCCCCTGCCCACTCCTAATATTCTTAAGAGGGTCTCTTCTCCAGTCATCAGAGAGTAGCTGGACGTACAGAGGCAGAAAAGGCCCTCTTTTCTTTCCACTCTGCAGTTTTAATCTGAAATCTTAGGTGCAGTACTGCGCCCAGAGCTCAGAAACTGCTCGCACTAATGAAATTCCCTGTCACAAAATGCACCTAGAACAATGGGCGTTTCAAACAATGTCTGGCAATACTGGTTATTAATAAAGCTACCATCTTCTATTCCCATTTTCCTGGGAGCAAGACCCATTAAACTCAATGGCATGTTTTGAATTGTACTGTTAAGGCTGGAAAAGTACAAAGGTGTGAAACAATGTCAAGGTGTTTGCTTTGTTTTTACTCAGTTCAGTGGGAAGTGGGGGAAGAAGCAGAGTGGCCAGGATGGTGCAGGTGAGAGACAGACTACAGTGGCATAGGGCTCCCAGATGATGTCCAGCCCAGGGTTTCCTCATATTGTATGTAGCAGCACCACTGGCTACACTCACCAGTTACATTCTGCCTACTCCCTCGGCAAAAACTGCAGTTCCTAAGTGCAGGTGTCTGCGGTTTCTTCTGCAGGATTTGAATACAGCACAAGTTCCTTTCTTAGTATGGGCTAGAAATCCAGTCTCTGAAGTGTTGTGACAAATAGCAATTGGTGCTCCATCCTCAAAACAAATAATGCATTTGAAAAGAGAGCCGCTCAACAATTCCCTACACATTCTCAGACACTAAATGTATTGTCTCTGGGTGGTATTCTTGGCTTGGTTCCCCAACTCCTTTCTGAGACAGCAGTACTATTGCCTTCACATATGATATTGTCTGTAAGCCTTCAAAATAAACAAGCTTACTTGGAAATGAAACTAATTCTCTTGGTCTGAAGTACGAACCTGTAGAATCTCTTCCCATGTTTATATAATAATGCACAAATGTTTATAATTTCAGATTGTTGACATTGTTATTGGAAAGGATGAGAAAGGAAGAAAGATTCCAGAATATCTGATCCATTTTAATGGTTGGAACCGAAGGTGAGGATGTATTTAGTGCATTGTGCATAGTGCTGCAAGTTCTTTTAATAATTCACGAATAAATAAAATGTCAAATAATCACACCTTTGCAGGGATTGGTACCTGTAATGCCCTCCTGAAAGTCAGTCAGCAGTTTTAATCATGCTTATCTTGAAATAAATGTCACTAAAATTGGACTTGCTCCTGAATAACGATGTCCATGGCCAGATTGTGAGGACCTGCCATCAGTGTAAGCGGAGGCATGCCAACTTAACTGCTTTGTGCAATATTTTGTGCATCCACTCATACAAAAAATGTATGCATGATCTCACTAACTTGGCTATCAAACTAAAAACCAACATTAACTAAATCCCAATTAGCCTTTTAATTATGAACTGACCTGAAATCATATGTATTGTTTCAAATACTACTTCCTACTGTACTACTGTAATCTTATATTCTCATGCTTTTTTTTTTTTAATACTCAGTTGGGACAGATGGGCAGCTGAAGATCATGTTCTTCGTGACTCTGATGAAAACCGCAGATTACAACGTAGATTGGCAAGGAAAGCTGTGGCTCGCATGTAAGGATCAAACAAAGTTTGCACCAATAGTAATATCTGTTAAATGCATACTCCTTTTACATACAATTGTGACTTTATACCTGCTGAGGTAGATGTAGCTATTCTGTACTTCCAGGTGATTTTTTTTACTAAGCTTTTCACTAAACTCTTTTTAGCACATTTGGTGGAAGTCCATCTGTTCTCATTGGGAATTCTTAAAAGGAAAAAAGCTCCAAAAGCTAAAATTCTTAAAACGTCCTATCCCTAGTAGTCAGAACAGTTGTGATGGGTGACAGGCTTATTAGTGCTTTGCCCTATGCTTTTTTTATTAATTCTGCCCCTCTTTTGTGATTTATTTAGCTATAGCTAATTTTTTTAAGCAATACCTTTTGTTTTCATGAGAGAAGCCGCATAGCTATATAGGTGAAGGACCCCACCCCCCAGCAATAGCGGGAGCTACTGCTTTTATAGCTTGCTATTCTCCTTGGTAGTGAGAAAAGGCACCAGCAAACCAGTCTCAGTCTTCTCTCAACCCATTGCTGCAGTAGTCCTTAAAAAACTAGAATTGAAACTCCAGGATCAAATCATAGCTTCTGCTTTACATGGCAAGCACTAATCATAGTTAACCGGTTTGGGTGAATGAGTAAACTATGGTTTACTGCCAGCAAGGGAGGGGATTGCAGCACACCAGGAAAGGAGGAAGCATATGATAATAACAATAATCTGCCAAGGCTTTTTTGTGTAGCAACAACCTATAGCTAGCACTATATATGCATCAGTACCTATGTCTTTGAATCTGTTCATGTTCAGGGGAATGGCAAAACACAGGCATATCCTGAAGATTTATGTTTGTATGGTATTTTTGTACTCTTACTGCTTTAAGTAAAACAACAAAATGTTAGGTTGAATGGTAGGCTTTCTTAAATTTCTTTTAGGAGAAGAAAAGGAAAGAAAGGGCGTTGCAGACTGCCTGGTGTTGATTCTGTATTGAAGATCCTTCCTGCTGAAGAGAATGATAAAAGCAGTGAAAAATGTAAGTTTGGTGTCTGTTTTCTCTGCTTATGATTGAACTGTCTATTTTAAGTATTTATATATCAACTTTATCAGCACAAAAAGATTGCTCTCTAGTCCTAAGAAGCTTACAGCCTTAAGCTAATAAGGGAAAGGAGGGAGAAAACAGAAGGTGCAGCTTGACTATCAGTTAAACTTCACATGTAAGTCTTATGTACAGGAAAACTTAAACTATTATTGGTTTGAATTGCTTTTTGTTGATGATAGTGTATGTCCTTCTAAAAAGTACATTCACCTGTAAGGAATTTGGCAATACTTCTGAGTTCAGGTTTGGAAATGAACATATTTGGGATTGGAATGGAACCGTAGCCTTAAAAGCACATCAAATATTTAAGCTTTTCAACACTGGTAGTGGTAATTAGGAAGGTTTACCATACATTCTGCTTGTTCTGACACTTCAGCAATTAGAACTCTTCAGAATCTCTGTTGGGTAATGTCCAACTTATTGTTCCTTGTGAAACCAATTTATTTTCTGTAAATTTCCAATTACTGAAGCATTGTACTAAGGAGTTTCCCAATTACAGTTATTTTTCACTGATATTAAGAAACCTTCCACATTTTGTGATGAATGAATGAAACTTTATTTGCGTCAGCCATCGGCCATAGCAACAAAAAACATTGTGATATACACAGAACAAAATAAAAGTCGATTATATAAAACACAGTTTGTGATGTGTTTAAATGTGTTTAATTAGTTAAAAGGAAGATTGATAAAGTTTTTAAATAGGCAGATAAATCTAGCTTGAGGATTACCGGTACATCTCCTTTTGTCAAATGAAGTGAGTGGGTAAGTGTGCTAAATGTCAAAGGTAACTCATTTTTTCTTATACAGCTATAAGTAGTTCTTCTTCTGATGACAGTGATGAAGGCACAGATGAAGAAATAAAGAGTGAAGAAAGTGACGTGGATGAAAAAATAGAAATGGTATGCCAATACAGCTATCTTGACCAACAAATAAATATACACCATAAAATACTTCATGGGCAACAATCAGAATTTTCTGGGTACCAAGTGTCTTACTCGCAAAAGATTAGCTTAATGTTTGCATACAATGTAAAAACATAGTACTATGTACCCTATGATTTTTGTCACTGGTATATCTCGGCAGACCAGTGATGGTAACCTTGGACACATGAACCTAGTTCTTCCCAAGCTATGCCCATTAAATATATACCACTTAATATTTCACAAATTGCTAATATCCAAGCAAGCTCCAATGGGACCCGGGAGCTCCACTCGGGAGCTGATTCCTGCCGCATTGAATTCAAGCCAGTCCAGAAAGGAAAAAATCAAATCTGATGTCAGGTGGCTGAGAAGTGGGTGGTTCCATCTGTAAAAGTGACTCATGAGGGTTGGAGAACATCAGGATCTGGCCCATTGTTTGGATCCACTTTCCCATTTTTGTAGTATACCATATAACTCCAGAATTGTTTTTCACACTGATCATGGAGGCGTATTGTTTCAAAGTACAACCTAAATGTAATGTGACTTGCTCTCAAAATAATGAGTGATGTTACATTTTAAAAAAAATGTTATAAATGACATTAACATTTCTATGCAAAAAAAAATGTTACTGCGCAGTTGTTTTAAGTGGGTGATGCAGCTAAGTCATATGTGGAGTAATTAGTGGACATAAGTTGGTTATGATTAACTTTAGCTAGCTACTAGCATCAGTCCTGGTTCGTATGTTATAAATAATTCCAATGTTTCTCTCTATGTAATTTACCGGTACAATGTATGAAAAGACTTTTAAAAATCTTATATGTATTTGTACAGAAAGAAGAGCAAGAGACTCATACTAAACGGGACATGGAAGAAAGAGCAATAAACATTGAAATTCCTGAAATCTTGAAAAAAAAGCTTGAAGAAGATTGTTACTATATTAATAGGAGAAAACGGGTATGAATAACTTAATTAAATGAAGATGTTTGAAAGCACTTATATCAAATTCTTGTATTCAGAAGACTGAACCATTTTAGTTGTTTGTTTCATAAGCTCTATGGAAGTTAGTGAAAGAGTTCTGGATTGATGATGAATAACTAATTTATAATGCAGAAGGAGTAATTTTAAAAATAACCCGAATTCTGCAAGAGTATTATTTCTGACCACTTCTTCCATGCTATCCCAGAGGGAGGTTATAGCCTAAGGAAAGTACGTTTTGTGCTGCTAAGCTCTGGAGCTCTGAGAGGCAATATGATAGCCATCTTCAAGTATCAGAAGGGCTGTCACATGGAAAATGGAACAAGCTTGTTTTCTGTTGCTTCAGACAGTAGGACCCAAACCAATGGATTCAAATTATGTGCTGGGGTATATGTAAAAAAGGTAAAGGGACCCCTGACCGTTAGGTCCAGTCGTGACCGACTCTGGGGTTGCGGTGCTCATTTCGCTTTATTGGCTGAGGGAGCCGGCATACAGCTTCCAGGTCATGTGGCCACATGACTAAGCCGCTTCTGGCGAACCAGAGCAGCGCACAGAAACGCCGTTTACCTTCCCGCCAGAGCGGTACCTATTTATCTACTTGCACTTTGACGTGCTTTCGAACTGCTAGGTTGGCAGGAGCAGGGACCGAGCAACGGGAGCTCACCCCGTCGCGGGGATTCGAACCACTGACCTTCTGATCGGCAAGCCCTAGGCTCTGTGGTTTAACCCACAGCGCCCTGGCACATATAAGTAAAATGAGTATAGGTTTTATTGGTGTACAGTAGGTAGCTGGTGCTACTGGAATTTCTATGGCTGCTTTACTCTCCAAACAGAGAAAGCTGGATGCAAGTTTCTCTTGTACACTTTATTTTTCTGAGTTCAGGCTTGTCTACTTAAATGTGTATTTCAAAAGAATGGTGGTAAGCAGATCTCAGATGTCATGAACTTTTATTATGTTGTTGCATAAATATTTGCTTCAATTTGGCCATTGATTGATTCATCTAGCTGGTGAAACTGCCATGTCAGACAAATATAATAACCATCTTGGAATCGTACGTGAAGCATTTTGCCATCAATGCAGCTTTTTCAGCCAATGAAAGATCACGGCACCATCAGATGTCTTCACACACCAACTTGAATCTGCACTATATCCCACCAGAAAAGAAGTAAGTAAGCACTTTTTTGTTTTATGTACAGTGGTGCCTCGCAAGACGAAATTAATCCGTTCCGCGAGTCTCTTCGTCTTGCGGTTTTTTCGTCTTGCGAAGCACGGCTATTAGCGGCTTAGCGGCTATTAGCGGCTTAGCGGCTATTAACGGCTTATTGGCTTTAAGAAAAGGAAACAAACTCGCAAGAACTCGCAAGACGTTTCGTCTTGCAAAGCAAGCCCATAGGGAAATTCGTCTTGCGGAACGACTCAAAAAACGGAAAACTCTTTCATCTAGCGAGTTTTTCGTCTTGCGAGGCATTCGTCTTGCGGGGCACCACTGTATCTAAAGTATCGTGCTTGAAATGAAGGCATAAGTTTTCAAAGCGGTATGTGCTCACTTGCTGTAAATGAACTCTGTCATTCTGAGGATAAAGTGAAAGGTTAGCTGACACAAGCAAATCATAATGCTTGAAAATGCAATATGAAGATGGATCTCGTTGAGCTGTAAAGGCCATTGTAGGAGCTGTTAAAATTACCTTCCTAGTGGGGGTAATGTAGATACAACTTAAGGAATTGGTTTGGGCGCGTTTTGTCTTGGAAGTAAAAGGCAATTGGTTTTTAAATAGAGATATGTTTGGCAGTCCTTTTAGTATCAACCTCATTTTCTGTCCCTGAGCATAATCTCCAAAATTTAAGGTTCCCTAAATGGCAGCTCTCAGGAAACACCAGGTACATATAGAGCCTTTTCTGTATGTCATTTATGTTTATATAAAGTCATCTTGTATAGTTAAGATAGTAAGCAGAGTGAAGATGTAGCAGAGGGTTTAAATCTTCACTGTGTTATTTAAAGGGTGTTTGGTGTTTTGCGTGTTTGTTGATTTGGTTGTTTACCAAGTCATAATATCTAAATGCACTTTCCCTCACCAGATACATCTCTTGCAAGAAGAAAGATAATATCAAAACAGATGTTTCATGCTAGTAGTCCAAATTCTAAACTCAAACAATAAGTTTTAAGTTGTTTCCAAAACCTTCTAAGCTCACTGCTCGCCTCAAATGACCTCACCTCTCTGCCTGCCAGCAGTACATAACTCATCCTGTCCCTAAGATCTATGTGAGTTTTTTCCAGTCCTACTTTGACTTCCCCTGCCGTCACCCCTTTCCCTCAAGTCTGTTTATTCTCAGCATATGATCTACTCTTCCCCTTCCTTCAGCAACCATTTTTCTGAGCCCTCTTTTCATAATTTCAGCTTCCTAGACCTTAGATTTCTGGCTTCCCCAAACAGCCTGCTATTTTCTTCCCACACTGCGTAAAGAATATTTTCACCTGACAAAGTGTTTGGTTTGGTTCAGTTACAGTGTTGTATCTTTGTCCTTGCTTGCTTCATATACTTTCACACCCTTTATACTTGTGATAATGTGACACAGTTGTTTCTACAATGTATGTTGGCTACTCTGTTTAATGGGGAATTGACTTTCTGTGAATCTGACTTTCTATTGTCAGCATCATCCCTGTGCAGCTCAGTCAGTGGGTGAGGAGTAGAGGATCACTACTAACTGGTCAGTTTTCAGCTTCTTCTGCAAGACTTCAGAGATACAATCCCCAGCTTCCAGCCTGGGGCTTGTGATAGCTTAGAGAAGCTCTGGCCAGTTCATAAACACACTGAAACATCGATGAATCCAGCTCTTCTCCAGAGCTTTGGGGTGGGAAAGGGAAGGGAATTCTCCTCAGTCTCATGGTGTGCTTCAGAAGCACTCCCATGTGGCGTGATGCGAGACCCATCCATTCCTCCACAGGGGAAGAACCTTGGTGACTTCAAATTTTGGCTGGCTATCAAGGAAGGCATTCCAAAATTTGTGGACCTGCACTCAAGAAGCGCAAATGTTCATGACTTTGTGCTCTTGCGTGTCAAGGCCCATGACCACGCAGTTCCCTAGAGTTCAAATAACTTAAAATGTACATTCACTTACAATTTCTCTTAAAATTGTCTGTCTTATGACATGTTAACATATACATATTTAGTTAATTATAGAAAATATTTATGCATTTCTTTTGCAACCTTAACTTTCTAGTGTTGAATTGTGTAAAGAAATGGTGGATGGGCTAAGAATAACATTCGACTTCACTCTTCCTCTGATTCTTCTGTATCCCTATGAGCAAGCACAGTTTAAGAAGGTGACTTCCTCCAAATTTTTTCTTCCAATCAAAGAGAGTGTAGCAAACACTAACAGGTAGGTTTGGTGCTTCTTTTTTTCCTCTTCTCTAGAGTATAATTTAAGTAGATGGTGTAACTGCAGTGCGTTTAACCTTTGCTTGCTTTTTGTGATAGTGAGATTGGTTTCCAGTAGGCTAAGAACAAGTAGAAGAAAGTAGTTTTGAAAAACACGGAAGTCACATAGTTACTATAGCTAATACTTTTTTGCATAACATACACTTGCATCGGTAAGTGCTTAACACTTTACTGCACTTTTATTTTTCTCTTTCTTCAGAAATCAAGAAGAGCTTTCCCCAAGCCCACCACTTCTGAACCCATCGACTCCCCAGTCCACGGACAGTCAGCCTGTGACGGGAGAGTCAGTAACACCAAAACGCCGAAAAACCGAACCTGAAATACTGCAGTCCCTAAGGCGCTCCACACGTCACACATCCAACTGTGACAGATTGTCGGAAAGCAGTTCTTCACCACAACCAAAACGACGGAACATTGAGGCTCCTACGTCAATGCCAAAATTGTTTTTGCACCTTGAAAAGAGTATGTCGTTGTAGCAAGGTGGAGAAATTATTTAGTGGGGGCAGGGGGAGACACCATTTTGTTGTAAACATTATTTATCATCTGTTACTTTTTAAGAAGTAGGGAAGGACATTTGACATGTGCATGCTGAGTGTTATACTAGTCGTGGAAGAAACGTAGGTACTGGTGGCACCGAAGCCTTTCCCTCTGGGTAGGTAGCAGGTATCTTAAGCTTGGGTGCATATAATTTCAACTGCCTTCACTACCCACTCTGCTTAAATAGACTTGCGTCAAACATAGAATAAAGCCCAGAATAATCAGCCTTTGACTGATTAATGTTCTATGCCCTTTTAAATATGTTCATGGGATGGGTTATTGGTGTGTTCTTGTTCTTGTTTTTATTATGTATTTTGTGTTCTCGTTTTGTATTTTTATGTTGTGAACCGCCTTGTGATCTTCCGATGAAGGGCAGTATACAAGTTTAATAAATAACAAAAATAATAAATCATGCATTAATTTGGTTGCATCAAGTTCATTTGAATAAAAGTTCTGTTCCTGATGCATCAGTGAATAATATAGCTCTCTGCTTTTCTTTTGAAGAAACTCCTGTCCACAGTGGGTCATCGTCACCCATCACGTTGACTCCTAGCAAAGAGGGTGGGGCAGTATTTGCTGGTTTTGAAGGCAGAAGAAACAATGAATTAAACGAGGTAAGCTCTTAGTCTTAGCAGGTTCCTAAGATTAAATTATGTTAAAAGAGCCAAATTTAGCTGGGAACCCAAGTTGTCCTTAGTCTCTTTCGAAAAAGAATAGCTGCACCTGCAAATGTACACATGGCTCCCACTTTGCTGCTTCCCTAGCATGAGCGGAAACAATAAACCACAATCTCTGAGTTCCAGACCAGATTATTGTGTCCAAACAGACTTTATGGCTTGTTTCTCTCCAAACAAAACATAGCATAGAGCCAAGGTTTGCTCTTGAATTACTAATTGTGGTTTGTTTGAGCAAAACAAGCTGAGATCCCTGGTTCAGATGTCATTTGAAGCAGGGATTGTGGTTTGTTGTTCCCACTGATGCTAGGTGAGGAACACAGGGAGACAGAGATCTACATTAATGATAAACCATTAATTATGGTTTATTGTGGTGTATGAGCTGGGCCTATATAATCTCTTGGGGATATTATTATGGACCATGCTTTGATGTATTCTTAAATGTGCTAATTTTATGTTTAGGTGTTGTCATGGAAACTTATGCCAGAGAGCTATCCCCCAGGTGATCAGCCACCACCGCCTTCTTACATTTATGGATCTCAACATTTGCTACGCATGTTTGGTAAAATACATTTTTCACTTTGAAAATAGATTATGTATAGTGCTAAGGTCCTATACACAGTTACTTGGGTGTAAATAACGCTTTGGCCCAGTGAAGTTTGGATTGGATTTCCACAGTAACACTTCCAAATAAGCAATTTGAGCTCTTGAGAGAATCTGAGTTTCTCTTTTAGGTATTCTCCCATATCCAGATATACTTTATCTACTCCATCTTCAGACCCTGGTGCAAGAATTCAAATACTGAGTGCTTCCTGTTAAACTAGTATTATGTTTGTTCAAACTGGGTGCTAACATGGGAACCCAGCTAGTTCATTTCTACTAACTGTTGTGCTGGGGGAGAAATAAGGATGGGATACAGTGGCTGTTGTTTTAAGCATCACATGTATTTTGGGGGGCTGCTTTGTTGAGGGTCACTACAGATGCACCTGAACTGTCACTCGTTGAAGTGTTACGAAAAGCTGGTAGTACAGCTCCAAACTGGAGGACAAGCTATTTTAGCAATCAAGTTGAGCTGCGTATCCTTGCAGCATATTTCTCATTTGATTTAAGTACTTTTATTAACACATTATTTGTTCCACAAATAATAAACAAATCACTTGTCCAATTAACTAGAGGCACCTCTTGACTTGATCTAGTTGTTTCGAATTCTGAAGAACAGCATAGCAGAGCACATTTACTATCTTCGTCAGAAACTGTTACAGGCTGAGCCACAAGCCATTCTGTATGCCTTGAGGATCAATATACCTTTACAAATGGAAGAAAACCACCAGAGTATTCTATACTCATGGAATATTGTATTGAGCAGTGGGAAACTTACCGTATTTTTTGCTCTATAAGACTCACTTTTTCCCTCCTAAAAAGTAAGGGGAAATGTGTGTGCGTCTTATGGAGCCAATGCAGGCTGCGCAGCTATCCCAGAAGCCAGAACAGCAAGAGGGATTGCTGCTTTCACTGCACAGCGATCCCTCTTGCTGTTCTGGCTTCTGAGATTCAGAATATTTTTTTCTTGTTTTCCTCCTCCAAAAACTAGGTGCGTCTTGTGGTCTGGTGTGTCTTATAGAGCGAAAAATACGGTAACTAAACTTTAAAAATTCACATTTTTTTTGTCTTTAGACAGTTGCATAGAAACTGATTAAAAATTAACTATGATATTGTTTTTTCCCCATTTTGCTTCTACAGTAAAGCTTCCAGAGATACTTGGGAAGATGAGCTTTCCTGACAAAAACCTAAAGGCATTAGTAAAGCACTTTGAGTTGTTCCTAAGGTAACTTGACCGTGAATTATAGAAAGTCTTTAAGTCTAAATGTTCAAGGGCACCTAGTAACTGCAAGAGCAATCATTTTAATAATGGAAGAGTCCTGTGCTATGTGACTGTTTAGCTTAATCTGTAAGAAAAGTGAGAGGGTGTGCCCAAGAAGTTAACTCTACCTTCACAAAGGGCTTCCTGTTAACGTTTTATATAACAAGAAGCTGACACGTTGTTTGATTTGTGTATCCTCTGATTGCACTTGTGAAGTGAAGTGGGAGCTTTGGTGAGGAGTGCTTTAGATGCACAACAGGATGTGCATGATCACGCTATACCTGCATTGCATGATGTCCAATGCTGTCCTTAGCATCCATTCCTGATACACCAGTGCTTCAGATTGGTCTACCATCTATGCGGTGCACACACAGTTGCCATTCAGAATTGATATTTGTTCATTATATAGAACACTGAATTAGCATTTCTGCCGTATAATACTAACTTGATCATTTTTCTGATTTGAGTTTGTAGCTAGTCTTATTTGTAGGAGGAGTAGGCACTGTGGAATTCAACTTGCAATAATGATATGTGACCACTAGTCTGTACCAATATGCAGCTAATACAGTGCCAGGCAACATTAGCTATAATACATAACTGAGAGGCTGCAAGTATATTCAGTTAAGCCTTAGTTAGAGAAACTGGAGTATTTTTAGGCTGTAACCCTCTGCCCAGTTACTTGGGAGTAAGCCCCATTAGACCCAGTGGGCTTACTTCTTAGTCGACAAGTGTAGGATAGTATCGTCAGAAGCTGTAACTGAGAGATGACGTAAAATCAGTTCCAAAAAAAAGGAGCTTTATTTTTATTTCTCGCACTGCAGCATGAAACCATCATAGAACACATGTCTGGCTCAGTCCCTGCAATCTCCAGTTGGGCTGGGAAGGATTTCTGCCACTTCCATTCTGTGTCAATGGATTAAAGGGCTCTGCATGAGGCAGCTTTAGTGGCCTATGAAAGTGAGATTGCTGCTCCTACGTATGCCAAAAAGTAGAGCTGTGTAGAACAAACCTCACTGTTGGCACACCTACCAGTCCAGTTTTTCATCCTCCCTGCTCAGAGAAGGCAGCTCCGTAAACACTCTTTTTATTATTTGAAAACAATATTTCCCACCTTCTGTTCTTCTCTCTATCCTTGTGATTTGAGAGAGAAACCGTGAGGACACAGTGGAGGTGGCACCATGTCCTGTGGAGAGCCTAGCACTCTGTTGATCCCTCAGAGGAGAGAGAGGGCAAAGAGTGTTCGTTGTAAGCATATTGCAGATTCAAGGAGAACACCAAAGGGTTAAATTAAAACCTTTTCATGTGTATTGCAAGTGACATTCTAATGTCCTTGGGAATTCAAAAAGCAAAAGGTTACAACAACAAATAACTGTGCATGTTCAGTGATAGTAGACTTTAGCTTCTTAATCTCAGAAACCATGCAGATTGCACAGGAAATATAAATTGTAACATGTCTCTGAATTACAAAAATACTTGACTAAGTCAGCAAATAATACATTAGAGAATTACAAGCTCACCAAATTTGAGTTGTGAACTGACTAATTTTGATCTTCAGCATCATCGCTGGAAATGTGGCAAAAAGACTCCAAAATCCTGAAGGTGTGACTCCCATTAAGGAATTTGATTTTTGTAATATTCAGTGTTGGATGTTTGAAAAATTACCTATGTAGGTATGTTAAAGAATTACAGAACTGTTAATACATATTCTGATTTTCCAGGTTTTTGGCAGAATACCATGACGACTTTTTCCCAGAATCATCTTATGTCGCTGCCTGTGAGGCCTACTATAGTACAAAAAATCCACGAGCCATCTACTGAAGCAGTCCATATTGATATAACCAACTGTACATACTCCATGGCTACTACTTTACTTCACTACTCCAAGAGAAAAATCAAAATACATTGTTGTAATATTACAAAGGGAGTTCCTCTAAGTCATTCTTTTGATATAAGAGAATCACATTTCATTTCAGAGGTATGCTGACATTGCATTCTAGCACTAGATAACCTTCACTTCTAGATAAAAGAAGCTCTGCATTGACTGCGGATGCATAGAACTGCATACCAATAAAGCGAGGAAAAGGAATAGATGCGTTAGAACAGACTTCACGAGAACCAACCATGCTGCGTTCCACTTTAACATAAGCTTGCTTCACCTTGAATTCCCGGAACACCACCTCCATTTAAGGCGAATCTAGGAGTGACTATTGTACAAGTTTTTCTCATTTGGAATTTATAACTCATTACATGAAGCTATTTTGACATAAATCGATATTTATAGAAGAAAGAATAAGCAAGTGTTGTGTTAGCATGATCTCAGCTTCAAGATTTCTGTGGTTATGGGGGGAGGAGGAACCCAGGATTGCTTTTAAGGATGCATTTACATTTTCCCACGGTAGGTGTGTTGGCAATGCCTGAATAGCTTGGATTTGGATTAATACACCCCATACGTAATTTGAATTGCTTTGGTGATTTTTTATTTTTTTTGTCAGCAATTGTTAAGAACAGGGTGTACTTGTTCTTGGGAATGAAGAATGCCAGTGACAATTACTTTGGCAAGAGTTCTGAAAACCAACAGTGGCTGCTAAATGAACCTCTGATATGGGTTGTTCAGCTTGAGATGCAGATTTTGTTTAGATTAGTTTAGGAGTATGTGTGCTGCTACATAGGTAGAGATCTGGACATACAGTTGCCTGCTGGCGTTATCTTAATGTGGTAACTGTGATGATATATAAATGAAATAGATCTTGTTTCATATACTAACTAGACTTAAATAACCTTTAGAGTTAGACTCATATGCCCATGCCAGCAAAAATAGCTTGCTCAATTAAAAGACTTTAATTTAGTCTCTGTAATCAAGAAAGCCAGTAGGCAAGTAAGAAGGTCTCACACGATCACTTAAGTAGTCTGATACTATATCCACACTACTTGAAAACACACACACCCCACTAATTTTATTAGGCTTTGTATTGGTCAGCTCAACTTATGAATTAAGAATTTAATATTTCCATGGGACAGAGTTCCCTGAATACTAAGTTGCCCATAAATATATTTTGTAGTAGTAGCAGCAGCAATTGGTTCAGGCACCAAAATACTTCACACTTGTGTCATTGCTCCCAAATGTTGGGATAATTCACCTAGATGATTTCTCCCTAACAAATGATTGCACCCTGTTTTCTTAAACAAAATCCCAGGTTGTGAGCCTAGTCAGTTAATAATTTTGAAGTTGCAGGGGAAATAGCTTTAGACTCCAACTCCACTGACACACTTTCACACCTTAAAGCTTACTAGGCGTTGTAGCTTCTTGAGATAACATAGAGAATGTTAGAGATACCAGTATGCCCATGCAGATAGCAGGCCTACTATTGTAACAGGCTGGCTTGTGCAGGCAGGAGACAACTGCGGGTAGAACGGTTGCAAGGTATGGCGGGGCCATTTAATTTGTGGACTATTGCTGTTTTGGGTGCTAGAGTTTGATAAATGAATTGGTTTCACACAGGTTTGCTTTCCAACTATAGGTCCTAAGGTGCTTGGAATGATTTTGGTCTCCAGTTTGAAGTTTTATAATGACAAAAGCATTTGATAGCCTTGATGTAAATATTGTTTGTACAAAATGGTTAAAATAATTAATAAGTTAATATAGAATAATAGCAAAACTTGATCCGTAATTCCTCCCATTGTGTGTTCAGCTGTATGGCAAATGTCTTTTGTTGTATTCAGTGTATAGAAATAAAACGGCTGAAGTGAACCATTTCTTTATTTATTCCTTTATGCATTTTACATATCTTAGTACATCAATTATCATTGTTTATCTTACACTCTTTGACTTCTATACACTTCCCTCCATGGGGTCTTATTTAATCCTTGTTGAGCTGCGTCTACTTAATTACCAAAAGTGAACCATTCCTGTGTAGTTGCTGTTAAACTGTAAAAAAAAAAAAAAAGCATATTTGGGAGCCCAAAATACTACTTTGTGTATCTGTTAATTTGCTAGTGCAGCATGGTAGTTAAAAGCCCTGTTCAAAAGGATTGTGTCCATCCTGTTTTCTGGGTACTTCACTCAAAAGATCCAGTCCATATCCAGTTCTTTCTTACATTTTCTTGCATGTAACCCAGAGTATGTGTTCTTATAACCACAATGCAAGGAAGCATAATTAAAATTTATTTATAGATACTTTGCATATTTTCTTGAATGAGAAATGTTATTTCACAAAACTGAAAAAGGTCTACTGCTCCGTAGAGAAACTTTAAACTCATAACTTTAAAGGGGAAGCCCAAGTCCTTTTTTTTGGCTTTCTTCAGATTACCTTGATAACTCACTGGCCTCATCTGCCCCTGATTAAGTTATTCTACATACTTGTTTACCTAGGTATGTACTCATGCACATGTACAGAAAATAAAGCACTGCTTTGTGTTACTATCTATATTCATATCACACTATAACTATTTCTAAGGAAATGCAAAAAATACACACGAGGAGCCACAACTTTTTCCATGACTAGGCTTGTCCACACATCCGCATGTCCCCCTGCTTTCCCCCAGGGAAACCCAACTCTTGATGGCTGAGTTGGAGGAAATGTCAGTTGGGTTTTCCAGGGGAAAGCAGGGGAAAGAGACAGGACAAGCAGAAAATCTCCTGTACCTGTGCTTTCTAGGCACAGGAGAAGCAGAAGTGTGGATGACCCCTGTATCTGAGATAAAAATCACTGAATTATGTACTGATGCCCTTTCTAGACAAACAAGTTGGCCACTTCTATTAATCTTCTATTGTTAGAAGGCTACTTCAATTTGTGTGAGTGAGAGTAGACCTAGATTGGTAATTCTGCTGCCATCATCTATTTTCTCCACCTGACAATTAGTCTTTCCTCCTTCTGTGTGATGATCCTAGAGTACAGAATGCATCCAACGGGCGTTGAGGGAGAAATGAGAAGACATTTATAATTATGATAAAGCACTAACTGCTTAAGAGCCAGCAAGCTTTTGAGGGGGGGGGGGGGGAGAGACACCTCTTGAGGCTGAAACATGAAACAGTTGTGAAACAGAACCCCATCTTAGATAGAACATCGTTTTTACTATTTACAGGGAAGCAACCTGACACACACCAATCTGGTTTTGCAGCTGTAATGATGAACTCTTGACACCAATTAGGTTAGCTGGTCTATAAACCATTCCAGCTAAGCTACTTTGGAAGTTGGTGTGGGAAACTGGGTGATATATTATGCTACAGTGTTGGAGTCCCATTGCTTGTTGAAGATGAGTTTTCAGATGCTGCTGCTGTATTCATACTGACGTCAAAATATGGTAACTTTTAAATCCAACCAATTGTTGCTATGTATGAAGTGTTTATGCTTAGACAATTCCTTGCCATTATGCAAATGTGAACCTATTTTACATTATGCAGCCACAAACCACTTTTGGTACAGTTCCTTATTCCCCTTTATAACAGTAGCTGAGCCAAGCTAAAGGTGTCCGACAGAACAAGATTATTTATTTAAGGTTGAACCAAATTATTAAACACAATTACTTAACAGGTTAGATATTAGAATTAGGCTTTGTTCGGTGCTTACTTACCAGCAGCTATCTACTGAGTGTGTGCATGTATATGTGGATTAAGAGAGAATTAAGCTTGACAGATTGGATACATATAGGTCTATGGGGTTTGCCCCCGAGGGAAGTAAAAGAGATTCACTTTCCTTCATAATCCCTTATCGGAGGGAAGGGGGACCAGAGTTTGTCTTACTTTTATGCTAAAATAATTAAGAGGCAGCAAAGGGGTGTGTTCTTGCTTGTACACTTTGTTTGTGTCCTCTGATAGGCCTAAAAATGTGAGACTGTCTGGAATGCTGCATGCAGTATTCTTAAAAGCTCCTGTGAACTTTTTCGCAAAGCATAGCAATATAGGATTTTTAAAACTTAAATGAAGCTGTTACCTCCCTTTAAGTTTTCCACTGCTGTGCGTTCAAAAACACACACACATTATAGAGCTGCTCAGTGCCCCACAGACAACATTTCAGTGCCTCATTTGCAAAGCTCATGGACCTAGAGAAATAGATATAGGTAAACATACAGGACAGAAAAGTACAAAAATGACATAGCAACATGAGGATTTGTAGAGGCCTTGATCTGGCTCAGGCAGAGAGTTATTGCCATTGCACTTTGATGCAGGGTGTGTGTGAAAACATAAGAAGAGCCTGCTGGATCAGGTGAAATGTCAGTTTAGTCCAATATCCTGTACTCGCAGTGACTTACCAAATGCCCCTCGGAAGCCCACAAGTGGAAGGTGAGTACAACAGAGCTCTCCTTGCTTATGGTTCCCAGCAAATGATATTCAGAAGCATACTCCTCCAACCATGGAGCTAGAACACAGCCATCTGAATCACCCCAATTGGCTTGCAGCTACACAGACTCTCAGCTTCCTTGTTGAACTTATAGCTCATAAATGTGGCTACAGCTGTACAAACTCTTCCTGCAGATCCTCCCAGCATCAATCTGCTGCTGCCTTCTTCACTTCCACTGGAGAACCACTACTTGCTAGTACTCTCTTTTCCCCTTCGGTCTTCTTTCTCCTGACCAAAAGTAACAGACTCATGCCTAACCTTCTACTGTTCCTCCCAGTGTCCAGTGACAAGCTGCACATTCTCATGATGGCAATATTGGCATATTTTTAAAGAATGAGTAGAAAACACACAGCAGTGGGCAACCTATGTACCAAAGGCCACGGACAGCTCTGGGCATTTCTTCAGGGTTAATGCATGTAGACAAGGCCGAAGCTGGGGGTTGGCACGGCCAGAGACGGATGTGGGTGGGGTCATCCTTTTACCTTTCTCTTCTTTCTGTTGCCCCTGACTCCTACCCCATTCCTCTTTGCCCATCATGCTGCTGATGGAAGGCAGATAGCTCCTTTGCCATCCATGCCCCACTCACCCACATGACATTAGGTAAAGGGCTACAGGTGGCCCCCATTCCTGCTGTGGAATGCTCTCAAGTTTAACATGACTTCCATGCTTTTTGGTGTATGTGAATTGGTAAGCACTTAAAAAAATAATCCCTAGAATATAGATTTCCCATTGCAGTCATGGTTTTGTTCATTTTCCAGTTGTTAACACACTATGGTCAAATCACATTTGGGAATAATAAAGGTGTCGCTATCTGGCTGTGGTCCTGACAGCTCTTCTGAGACTGGCGTCTGCAAAGATGCACCCCCCTCAATCATTCTTGTGCTGTTCAAACACCACCTGCAACTCTGTAAATAAGTGGCTTGCTTCCTCTGTTCAAGGGTTGGACTTTGGTGTGGTCAGCAGCAGCCTGGAGGAAGCAATGCTAGCAATATTACACAGGAAGGGGAGGAACAAGCCATGATAAACCCAACAGTTCAACAAAAGCAAGGCTGCTGCACATCCTGTGAATACTTGTGTGAAAAATGCTCTGCCAATTGATGTAGAGAACAAGAGGAGACTCACGTTTTCAAGCTTTATGCTCATACACATCACTGTCTCTCTCCAGCCACCTAAGAACCTTGAGGGCAGAAGTAACACAGCATCTCTGCAATGTCTCCAAAGAAAGATAAAAGAATTTGGTCATGAGATTCCAGCAGATGGAGTGCCAGTTGTGTCTCGAACTTGCCTACTTGAAAGGAAATGGGTGCTTTTATGTCTCTCTACAGAAACCTAGTATGTTGATGTGTTGACATAACAGTTCTTTTTCTGTGTTCAAGGGAACTGTTTCTTTTCAGGCTTCAAAATATTTCAGAGTCCATCCGATTGATGCCTATACAGTGGTACCTCAGGTTACATACGCTTCAGGTTACATACGCTTCAGGTTACAAACTCCGTTAACCCAGAAATAGTGCTTCAGGTTAAGAACTTTGCTTCAGGATGAGAACAGAAATCGTGCTCCGGCGGCACGGCAGCAGCAGGAGGCCCCATTAGCTAAAGTGGTACCTCAGGTTAAGAACAGTTTCAGGTTAAGTACGGACCTCCGGAATGAATTAAGTACTTAACCTGATGTACCACTGTAGTCCCCTTTCCAGCATAGCCCTAAGGGCTATAAATGAGGAATCTGTGGTCCTCCAGATACTCCCATCATGGCTGGGACTGATGGAAATCAAAGTCTAACAACATCAGGGAGGCTACAACTTTCTGACTCCTGATCTGTTAGGCAGTAATCTTAACCCCACTTAGCTGGGAGTAAGTCCCACTTAATTCAATAGGAATTGGCTCTGAGTAGATTTGCTTAGGATTGCACTGTAAATTACCTTCTGGGAACCCGTGAGATGAGTTGTGTTCTTTGGCATTCTCTTATTCCCTCATAAGGTTTTCCTACTGCAGACCTAAGGGCTGGCTCACAATTTACCTCAGGTCATTTTCTTCACCCTTGTGGCCTGCTCATAAATGTCTGCTGTGGTAACTTCTTATCATCGTACCATAAATGCAGCTCAAATCCTTCAGGTAACTTGTTTATTTGCTGAAGATGCAGTTCCTTGCCCTTTGATACTTCAGAGATATGTTTAGTTGTGATTGTAATTAGTTTTTTAACTGTTTTAATGCTGCATTTTATAATGCTGTAACCCAGCCCGGAACCTTCTGGGGAAGGTAATAAATCTAATAATAATAGTTAATAATAGAGCAAGCAGTAGTGAGTCACTGAGGTGATGTGTGAACCTGAATGTGTTTGTGGTGCACCTCAGCTTTTGTTACCTTGTGACAGGACTGTTTTGTTCTTTTTGTTTTTAACACTGTTGCGTGTCTGAGAGTTTGTGAAACACTATACTATTTTGATAGTTGGGAGATGGATTGTTTTTACTTTTCCCTCAGGTATTATAAACTAGGTAAATTACTCTAATGGTTAAATAGAATGTTAGTAATAAGGAGTGGAATTTGATATGTTTGTGAGCAGCAGGTGCAAAGCAAATCTGATTGATTGCTGTGATTCCATTAGCTTCAGTAGCTTTGGAAAAAGAAAAATGCCTGTAACATATGTGAGATATTGTATGTCAATATAAAATTGATAGACTGACACAAATGGAATAAATTTGTTTGGTCCAGGCAAAATCTCAAAATCTCTTACTTCAGTTAAAATAAGGAGTAACTAATGATAGACAATTTTACCCAGTGGTGGAGGAGGGGGCGGTAGGCCAGAGAGAATAAGTTCATTTTGTTTGGTATATGGCTCCTTTTTGAATTAAAATACAGCTTCACAACATAAAAATACAAAATGAGAGCGCTAAATATATAATAATACAAATAGAAGCCAACAACACCTCCCTCCCACAAAAGCATTTAAAAGACCATCAAATGTTAGTCAGCCAAAGGCCTAGTTCTAGAGAAACCTTTTCTCGCCTGACGTCTAAAGACATATAATGAAGATGCCAGGTGAGCCTCCCATGAGCTGGAACTCTGAGCATTCAGGATTTCAGCTCTTGGGGACAGCCTCCATGTATTTGACAGGCTGCCCTGTCATGATCTGAGACTCTCCTCCCTCAGTTATCACCATGCGCTTGTTAAAGCCTGAAGAGGTCTTTACTTGTAGTGTCTCTAGGTTCTTCTAAGAATGTAGGTCCCTTTGCTGACAGGAAAAGAATAGTGGAAAGTTTTCTTGACCTGTCAAAAAATAGTTAAAAGTATTTCTGGGTCACCAGGGATTACTGGAAAATGATGCAAGAAAGACAACTCTAAATCTTCCATAGAAAAAATGGACAGGGGCAGAATTAAGTGTACCGAAAAATGATCAAAGTATTTTTTTAAAGCTGAAGTTGGTAAGCACACAGACTAAAATATACTGTTTGTTATTTGAAAATTGCATTTATTTTATTTATTTATAGATAAAATGAACTTCAGAATAGAATCTAGTATCCTATTACAAAGAAAGTCTGGCTGTACTTTGGATAGTGCCTGGCTTACAGACAACACTTCAGACAACTATTTGAAGAAGGCGGCACTAAAAGCATACATCAATTCTTGAAGGGTATAAGCTTCATTTAGTAGTATTATGGAAAAGTTCAGTAGCTTGTTGACGGCCGCCAAACACACTTCACTTAAAAATGTCTGCTGATGTCTTTTGGTGTCCATAGATTCATTTCTAGTTATACAGAATTGCTCTAAGACTGTCACTTTGAGTAATTTCAGATACTTTGTGGACCTATAGCTATTAATGGACTTCAAGATCACCAGTGTGATAAATAATTCATCCGTGAGTCATTTTTACGGCATCTTCATTTTTCATATCTTGCTTTTCTGTGGTGATTGTATCACATCTAATCATCGGCTTTAAATCTACTTTCAGTGCCTTGACTTTTGGGGGCAGCCACAGGGTTTCACAACATGCAGATTTTACTTCACAATAGAAAAGCTAATATGCTTGCTGTGGAGAAGAAAAGAAAGATTCTGTTCATAACGACAAGCATGTGAAATGGCAGACTATCGATTTGTGTGATTACATGATACTATGGAGCCAATTATATTGACAGGGAGTTGAAATACAGTTCAGCTTCTAAAAAGCCCTTCCTAGAATAAAGCCACAGTCTCTCTTTATTCCGCAGTTGTGTGGGTGAAGCCAACTTCCTACCTTTGCCATTTGTGAGTGCTGCACTTATGAGTAAACTAACTAACTCAGTTAGCTTCCTCCTGTCCCTATCCTTAAAGGAGACACTGGTTTAACCCCTATAGTCAGTGCTTTTTTTCCTGGGGGGACACAGGGGTATGCATACCCCTAAACATTTTGTGAATCTAAGTTTGGCCTCATTGAGGGGCAGTATTTCAGTATGAGTAGGAAAATGAGAGTACCCCTAAATATTTTTTTAGAAAAAAAGCACTGCCTATAGGCATGAGTGATTATCAAGGTTTTCTTTAAAAAACACACTACAACTTTTGGAAATTCAAATCTGGTCTTGATGGATATGAATTATACAAATAAACTACCCTGTTCAGCAGCCCAATAAAAACAGAGCTTCTTTGTATTTAGAAAATCACCACCACCACATTTTAATGGCATTGTAAGATTCATGTACACTTGTATATTTCTCTTTTAAAAGTATTTGATAGATAAAAGGTATAATATGCTAGTCTTTGCAAGTATTTTTTTTTAAGCTGCAAGTACGTTTTTATTATCTTTATCACTGAAATTGTTTAATGTGTGTGCCTGTCAAGATTCTGCTACAGCCGTGATGCCTGTCTGTGCTCCTTTGATTTTCTGGATCTTGTGCTGGAGAGGGAAAAGAGAGGGCACCATGTGCAGATAGGCACGTGTGCTGCTGCTGAAATCCATAAACTCACTCAACTCAAGTGATGTGTGTGCACGTGCGTGTGCGCGCGCACACACACATACACAATTATATGCAATGTCTGCACAGCAGTGAGGCAGAAGCATAAATCTTTAGAGTGGGGGGAAATCCCGAGGGGGCAAACCATGGAATATTGAGTGCAGTGGAAAAGAAAAGAAAAAACAAAAAGTCGTAGGAAGAGGTGAATTAACCAGCTTGATAGTGCATTAATGGTGATTTATTTTGCTTTGGTTTGTTGTGCTACCACATTAATATTGTTCATAGTGGCTATAGCACAACAAAAGCAGGACAAAAATAAACAGAGCATTAGCGTTATAAAAGGTTGCGGAATTTCAGCACAAAGTCTATGCACTGATTGGGAATGAAATTGTGTGACCATCCCAAAACTTTTGCAGGTGCAAACAAGTATTGAAAGCGGGATCACATGTGACTGCCCCATTAGCATCATGAGCACAAATCGTCATGAATGTGCAACAGAAAGGATGTATGGAGAGACCCTTAGGGAGTGCAAATACACTGCAATATTTTGTTAACGGTCTACATTGATGAATAGAAAGTGTTTTGTGTAGGTGCTCTTTCACAATACTTTATAAAGGTGTGCATTATGTGACGGAAGAAGTAAGGAAGAAGGATTTGACAATGGAATGTGGTAGCAATGAGTCATCGCTGGCTTAGTAGACAGATCCTCTTGCAAAGTTTCACATACTGTTTTTAGGAGTGTATGACTATAGATTTCCACCTTTTCTTAAGTAAAGAAGTTAAATGAAAAGCTAAAAGCCCAGTTAGACATGGGGACTGCTAACTTTAAATCTATAAATAAACTGAAGTCAAGACAGGAAGAAATTGATTGAATATGGGAGTAGCCTGGACTGCTCAATAAAAGTACTGTAAAGTAAAGAACAAGAAATGTAAACCACATTGAACTGAGAGTAGATACTTAATGCCCACTTTGCTTCTGACCTTTAAGCTCTGCGGATGGTGGTTTTGTTATGTACTTCTGGGGGATGTAATGGTTTAATGCTTTATATTAAATTCTGTGGTATATTTATTTAAGGAAGAAGAACCAGACTAGTTTAAGTGCATGGCTCTTTGAAGCAGGCATTCATTTTGATGCAAACATTTTATTACCTTTTTATCCTGCCTTTCCCCCCAAGTGAGGAGGAGGAATATGGTATTTGTGCATTCATCCTCATATCAATCATCTGAGGTCAGAGAGAGAGAGAGAGAGAGCTTTCCCACTGATCTTAGTGGTTTCGGGGAGATTTGAACCTGAAATTTCTGCTCATTTGGTTACTATCTAGTCAAACACCCTTAATGATAACACACCAGCTGTTCATGAGCTATAATGGTACGAAAGGAAACCATGTACACTCTTTAATCTCTTCCTGTCCCAAATCAATGCTGATTTCGTTAAAAGGACATAATAATAGCAATATAACCTTTGAGAAGGCAGGACAGTCATTTTGAATCTGTGTGGTGGGCCTAATGGGGGGGGGGGAGAGTATGGAGCCTGTTCTGAATATAGAACAAAAATAGCTAGTTACAAGACTGATCTTGAGATATGACTAATGTTGTAATAGGTTGTTGTTAGTATGGTAGTAAAATAACAGCAAGGAAAACCTTGGCTTAGGTTCCAACACGCTTTGTCATTTATTAGTAATGATGAGCTAATCTGATGGCTTGGATGATACCATTTACAGGTCATTACAGCAGATCTGCAAGAATAAGACTACTGTGGCAAATAGCAGATGTAAACCTAGCTGCTCTGAGGTGTGTGCAGTGAGTGAAAAAAGAGAGAGATAAATATAGTCTCTAGTTAGATATATTGTTCTATCCGATTATCAACCAATTTCTGCTCAGTGTAAATTCATTATGAAGAGTAAAGCCTTGATACTTAGTATGCAATCTATGAGACTCTCTGGAACATGAAATGCCTGTCTTCAGTGGCAGTACCAGTTACTGGGAGCAACAGCAGGCCATATTCAGGCATCTCGTAACCATGGATACCAAACTTGGGAAGAGATCAGTTGGAATGGGAAGGGTTCCACCCTCTTGCTGTTTCTGCATAAGCTGACCACATACCATGATAACAAGCATCTGTTTGAAGGGGGTCACTTCTACAAGCATGGGGTTTCCTTCATGAGAACAAAAACCAAAATCTTGGCCAAATTTGGAAACCCTATGGGTGTAGAAGTGGCCCTCCTTCAGAAGGACACTGAGCATGAGTCACCAGGGCTGTGACCAGCATGTAGAATGGCACTGAGGGAAGTGAGGTTAACCCTCTCATGCTTTCACTGGACCCTTAATGCATTTGTTACCTGCAGGTTACCAGATGCCTGACTAGGGTTGGCATAAGAAAGCAATTTGCCTTCTTTCAGGCTCCCTGGAAGCTTGTGGTTAGATGCTGAACTGGTTGGCTCACCTGGTCTGATATGGTGGAGCTCTTCTTGTGTTCTTATGCATATGCCCACATTGTGGAACTACATATAATGCATTATGTTTCTACGTATATTTATTTCAATGGAGTTGCTTAAAATCTAAATAAATCTGGTTTGCTTTTCTCATGACTTTGCATATGCCCAGTCCTTCACAGTAAAGCCTTTACTCATTCAATGCATTACAGTGGTACCTCGGGTTACATACGCTTCAGGTTACAGACTCCGCTAACCCAGAAATAGTACCTCGGGTTAAGAACTTTGCTTCAGGATGAGAACAGAAATCGTGCAGTGGCAGCGCAGCGGCAGCAGGAGGCCCCATTAGCTAAAGTGGTGCTTCAGGTTAACAATAGTTTCAGGTTAAGAACAGACCTCCGGAACAAATTAAGTACATAACCAGAGGTACCACTGTACTAAGTATATGCAGCCAAGGAAAGAAACATTTGCTGCATTTTAAGGAGCAAAATTGGGAATGAGGGGTAAAACCCAGTGACTATCTGTATATTTATGTGCTTGCTTATTTAGTGAGGCACTGGAAATATTTAGAACTGCAGTTGCCAGGTTATGGCATATCTAAGAATATATTTCTTTTGCATCTTTTCCTTTTCATCTTTAGCTGCTGGACTGTGAAATTAAACACAACTCTATCCTAGTAAGCACCTGGGTCAATTAAATTGCATCTACCAAAACAAATATGTGAGAGACCTTGTATTTAAATGCTTCTGGGAACAGATTTCAAGGTAGCAAGCAGGAAACCATGTTCATAATTCCCTCAACACCTCCGTTCAGTATTCTTGCAGTGCATTTAGCAGTACTGAAGAACTTACGTCAGATCTGTTTCTTTATACAGATGCATGAGCCATACCGTGTTTGCAGCCAAACAATAAGGTGTGTGTGTGTGTGTGTTTCAACATAGCCCTAAGGAAATCATTTCATCAGTGTAATCTCCCCCCCCCCGCCATGAACTGTTCTGAAGGTTTTCCTGACCATCCTAAATGGATTGGGGGAGGGCGCAGTCTGGAGGTCTGACCCACAAATAACGTCCTCTCCTGATCTTTCTGCTGTTGAGGCGAAACACTAAATGCCTGGCTCTGCTGCTGGCTTTTGATAAATTAATTAAAAGATGAAATGTGTTAATTATTTTCTTTTTAATGTAGATCACGCTGCTCAATTTGCTTCTCTAATCACTTAGATCAATTGCATCTTAAAATAAAGTCAGTGATGATTGATGAAATAACCATGTAAAACACAGAGAGATTAAGGGGACTTCTGGGGTGGCGCCATCGGCAATGGCGGACTCCCTCTGAACTGGAGGGACTAGCTCCGCGCGAAACGGGTCTTTTCCGCTACGGCGAAGCGGGGACCCTTTTAAAAATCACAGGCAGATGAAGCCTGTGACCATGGGACTAATGGGCTCCAAAGCGAAGAGGGGGAAGCGGCGCGGTGCTGTGAGTCAACTGCTATTTCTGTGGAGCGAAGCCGCATAGCCGTTGCCGGAGAGTGCTGCCTTTTTCCTGGGACAATTTGGCTTTTAAAATAAGCACCCGTGAGTACTTAAACTTTGAACAATTGGACTTTAAATAAGGATTTGCAAGCAGAAAGGAATTGGATTTAAAAATTCACTTCAATTTGGTACTGAAACGGGAAGGTCTAAACAGGAAGTCAGCCTTCCATTTCTTTGTAGAAAGAACAAAGCAAAGACAACGTAAACTAGAGCTTAGAAAATCGCTTCTAAAGGATCAGCTTTCATCATTTAAAATCCTCGAACCCCCCTTCGGCAGCAGGAGAAGAAGGGGGATCTTTTTCGGACTGTTTAAACCTGCAGAAGTGAGTTTAAAGTAAAGTAACTTTCCACCGTCCTGATCCTGGAGCGGGGTGTCAGGACTGACATTTGAAGCTCATTGACCAGAGACAAACGTTTTTGACAGATAGCTAAAAGAAGAGAAACATAGTGATTCCACTGTTTCCTTTCGCATTTTAAAGGAACAAATATTGACAAAATATCTTAAAAAAGAAACTTTGTTGCAAGAACAACTAGAAGTTTTCCCCCTAGAGGGAGACTGGGAAACTGTAACTAATTCCAGGGAGCTTGCAGCTGCCACAGATTACAATCGTGGGAAAAGGCTTGTGACCTTGTAGGACAATGAATTCAGAAGCTCTGTTGTGTGCTCTCTGTAAAATAAATGCTCCACTGGAACAATTAACCGAGAAGACGGATTTGATGACTAAAGCGGTCAGAATTTTTGAACAGGCAGTGGGAAACTATACGGAGCCCACCCAGGAATTAAATCAGGAGTGTGCCCTGACAGAACAGATGAGAGAAGAGGATGTTGCGCAATCTTGGGCGCCAGAGATGGAGGGAGCTGCGGCCCAGCAGGAACATGAGCTTTTGGATTTGACAAATGAACTTGGAAAAAGCCAGATTAGGAAAGATAAAGTTTGGACTGATTTGGAAATGGGGGGTTGGATAGACCCCCCTATGCAGGGATGTTTGGACTTTCCGAGTCTGGCAATGGGCCGTGAGATGTTGGGAGCTGTGGGGGCTCTCAATTTTGGAGGGATTCTGAAATATGACTTTAAATACTACATGGAGTTTAGTCTGGACTATGGAAAAGGGGCTGATTTGTTGAAAAGGGTCAAAAACATTACCAAGCTGGAGTTCCCACGAGTGAAAGGTGAATATGAAGAAGAGCTGCGGAAGGGACATGGAAGGGACTTAAGGGCCTCGGATATAAGGTTACCAGGTTAATGCGCTAGATCGATGGGATAAAAAGGACTGACAAAACCCAGGACCAGGAGGAAGGGACGCTGGATGAAGATTGGATTGTTTCTATTTCTTTTTTTTTTATTACTAGGATTGTTTTATAAAATTGATGACTGTTAGAAAAATGTTGGAACAAAATTACTTGGCTCTAGCAAAAATGTTTAAAGAATTAGGCAAGAATATTATGGTCATGAGAAGTGGGTAAAAATAAGATTTAAGTTTTAAGGTTTTTTATAAGATAAGATGAAAATAGATCAAGGTAATGTAATGACAGAATATTATGAAATATGGAAAGGATTTGCTGCGATAATTAATAACTGGGATACAAAAAGGGAGGAGGAGGAGGTCAAAGAAAGAAGGTAATGAAAGTTGAAGATTTGAGAATGTTGGTTTTATTTTTGTATGTTTGTGGTGTATTTTTGTTTTTTGAATTTGTATTGTTGGATGTGGTTTGCTTTCTTTTTCTCTTTTCTGTTTTTTCTTTTTTCTTTCTCTGCTTTGTCTTTTTCTGTAATTTAAAATTTTTTCAATAAATATCATTAAAAACAACAACAACACAGAGAGATTAAGAAACATTCTCCCCATAACTTAACTCTCTTCAGAGGAGTCTTTGGAGTCTAGGCAGTTACCTAAAATTACATTAGCCTTTTATACAGCCACAAAACACTGCTGATTATGTGCCTCTTATGAGACACTACAATTCCCCAGATATTTTGCATAGGCACTACTGCAAAGTAAGATATCTCCCATTCTATGCCTGTTTACCTGCTTGCTTGCCTACATGCAGAATGATGTATTTCTCTGTTGAATTTTATTCTGTTAGTTTCAGCCCAATTTTGTGTTTTGTCAAGGTCATGTTGAATTTTATTCCTCTCTTTGGATATGTAAGCTGTTTCTCCCTGTTTTGCATCATCTGAATATCTGATGAAATTTCCCCCCATCTTCTTGTTTAGAGAATGGTTGCCTTCCACATGTTGTTGCTTATACTCCAACTCCCATCAGTCCCAGCCAGCATAAAAACCAATAGTTAAGAAGGATGGTGTATTAGGGAAGAGAAGAAATACATTTCATTCCAATAGCAGGAGATAGCCTTCCCTTAAATTGGCTTAATTTGAATGGTCCATGAAACCCATAAATAAAACACACCGTAAGTTGGAAATAAAATCTAGAGACTGAGAGGGAGGCTGTAAAGGTAAAGGGACCCCTGACTGTTAGGTCCAGTTGCGAATGACTCCGGGATTGCGGCGCTCATCTCGCGTGATTGGCTGAGGGAGCCGCGTACAACTTCCAGGTCATGTGGCCAGCATGACTAAGCTGCTTCTGGCGAACCAGAGCAGCGCACGGAAACGCCGTTTACCTTCCCGCCGGAGCGGTACCTATTTATCTACTTGCACTTTGACGTGCTTTCGAACTGCTAGGTTGGCAGGAGCAGGGACCGAGCAATGGGAGCTCACCCCGTCGCGGGGATTCGAACCGCCGACCTTCTGATCGGCAAGCCCTAGGCTCTGTGGTTTAACCCACAGCGCCACCAGCCAGTGGCGTAGCGTGGGGGGTGCAGGGGGGGCCAGCCGCACCGGGCACAACATCTGGGGGTTAGGGTTAGGGGGTGCAAATCCACGGGTTAGGGGGCGCAAATCCCCAGGTTAGGGGGTGCAAATTACTTGCCTTGCCCCAGGTGCTGACAACCCACGCTACGCCACTGCCACCCGCGTCCCAGCCACCCTTCTTAGGTGGGGATTTTTTAAAACTAGGTGCACATGCAACTATGTACATGCATTCCCTGTTGGTACTTAATTGC